TCTGTACAGAAACCGTCCTACGGCGTTTATTGCTGTGTTTTGCTTTTCTTTAGACGTAGATCTCATTATGTTTTTTAATATAGGCTGTTAGGTTTCTTCAGTAATGATTATAAAATTAATGTGTGTGTGCTTATAAACATTGAAGAAAGGGTATGCTTCACTCTGCCTTTTGATTCAGTCAAGAGGAGAGCATCCTGTCTTATGACCTGATCAACTGTCCTGTCAGAACAATACTCTCTTTTGTAACCATGTGTTATGTTCTGTTAATAAAAGACGACTGCAGGTGGGGGTTCGGGGAAAGAGCTGGAAGTTGGGTTGGGCTTTTTCCACTCCTGCAGGCGTTGTTTGAATCTCTTTCCTGTGTGGACTCAGTTTCTCTTTTACAAACCTACATTTTTTAACCTAACACTACTTTTGCCTAATGGTAAATCCCCCCCCTGACTGTAACACAAAGCTTTCTAAGCCAGAAAAAAAGCTCCTAGATTGATGTTTGTTCCACACACAGGTTGGTTTAATTTACTAACTCTGTTTCTCCTGGATTAAATCCAATCTTATTCATTTCTTGTAGAAAAAACACGGGCTGAAAGAAAAGCTTGGATTGTTAGGCATCATCTGGCGGAGACTTTGTGTTGGTTTATCAGATTAAATCCCAGTGAAGTAATTCGCAGTTTGTGGTCATTATGTTACAAATTGTGGAGCAGGTTTAGGGTATGAATACTTGTACCTGATCCTGAACAGATACACTGCAAAAATGTAAATCTACATAACTCCTTTTTTATTTAAATAAGTGCATTTTTCCTTGAATTGAGGAGGAAAGTGAGACATTTTGCCAATGGAACAATTCAAAATAAGAAAAAACAATTGCATTGTCTTATTTCAAGTGCATATTATCTAATTGTCTTATTTTATGAGTGAAAATCCTAATTCAATTGGCAAACTATCTCATTTACCTACTCAAATTAAGAGTAAATACACTTAATTAAAAAAAATTAACTTGTTTTTAGATCATTTTTCCAGTGTAGAGCGGTAATATCGTGTAATATTCATTTTCCATGTGTTGACAGGAACGGGAAGCGGGGTCAAGGTTGGGAGAGGAAATACGTCGTCCTGGACGGGACTAAAGTCTCCATCTATGAGATCGAGCCGAGAGAAGGTTAGGCTGCAGGAGGGAGGGATAACTTTTGGAAGGATGTCATAAACCCACCTCTGCTTCCTCATCCGTCTGATTCCAGATTCTGTGAAGCCACTGGAGGAGTTTGACTTGTGTCTGTCAGAGGGAGAGGTGATGATTCATGGAGCAGTCGGAGCATCGGAGCTCCCGAACACGGCCAAGTCTGGTAGGAGCCAATCTTTATATCCTAATTCTACAATCTCCAGCAAATCCCTGTTTGGTGACGTTTTTGTCTCCTCCTTATTTCATCAGACGTGGCCTACGTCCTGAAGCTGGAGTCTCGTTGCCACGCCCCCTGCTGGCCGGGTCAGGCCATCTACTTCATGGCCCCCAGTTTCCCGGACAAGCAGCGCTGGGTGGCCGTGATGGAGGCTGTGGTGGGCGGCGGGCGAGCCGCTCGGGAGAAGGCTGAGGCTGACGCAGTGAGTCTCTCTGCTGCCACCGGCTGACCTCCTTCATGTCCATCAACACTTTAAGGATGAAAACTTCAACACATCCGTCTGCTTTCACTGACATAATTCATTAACTCTTCCCTTCTTCTCTTCTTTTCTCTTCGTCTCTTTCACTCCTGTTTGTTGCCCTTCATCCTGCCGCTCTACATATGGCCACGTTTTCTTAATTTGCTTTGTTTTCCTGCTTCCTTTCCTCACACATACAGGCCGTTATGTACAAAAGGCTAATGGTTCTGTCTCCTCTGGTCCAGGTAAAGAGATTCAGAGTTGTAGGCGCACAGGTCTGCACATGTGATCTGCACATTCCTCCTGCGGCGCACAGCTGTGCATGCATCACTGTGTTGCTCAACCCTTCTGCTTCCACCGCACTCGCTTCCCCTCCTCTAACTTTAACTCTTTTACCTCATCCTGAACAAACTCAACATTGCAAAAACGTTCTGAAAATGAGCAACATTTTCTTAAAATAAGTGTATTTACCCCTAATTTGGGTAGGAGAATAAGATTATCTGCCAATGGAATGAGCATTTTTACCATTAAAATAAGATAATTAGTAATTATGCACTGAAAACAAGAGACTGCAGTTGTTGTTTTTTTCTTATTTGAAATGTAAATTTTCTTATTTCATTGGCAAAGTAACTCTCTTATCTGCTTAATTCAAAAAATGCACTTATTTTAAGAAAAGTTGACTTAGATTTACATTTTTTGCAGTGAAGACCCAGTGTGTTGCAGAGGGATTCACACTGGAAAAATTCAAAATCTAGATAAGTCAGTTTTTCTTAAATTAAGTGCATTTGTTCTGGAATTGAGGAGGAAAGTGAGACAGTTTGCCAATGGAACAAGACAATTTACATTTAAAATAAGAAATAAAAATTGCATTATCTTATTTCAAGTGTATATTATTTAATTATCTTATTCTAAGAGTAAAAATGCTCATTCCATTGGCAGATAATCTTATTTACCTGCTCAAATTAAGACATTTTTACTTATTTCAAGATTGTTTTTGCAGTGCGCATCATTGAAAGTATCCATTTTTGTCACTTTTTAAACACACCTTTCTGTTCCCTCCAAAAGAAAGTAGTGCATAAATGTGAACTCAAAGCAAAATGCTGCATTTAAAAAGCTGCTTGTTCAAAAAACCTTGAAGCCCTCAGAGGTTTGCTTTAGTGCATAAAGGCCAGAAGACACCGAATCCGAAGTTGCGTCCGATCCGACAGAAAATCGTGTCTTATAGGTGGGGATGGTTTCCTGCAGGGGGCAGCGTAGATCCGCCTGAGATAGAGCCCAGGTCTATTTTAGTTGGACTACGCAGCAATTCAGCAGCAATTTCATGGGTCTGACAGGAAGAGAGACGAGGTTACAAAGTAAAATACATCCGCTTTGGAGGGAAATACAAAATAAAATCTGTTAATCTCACGGGGAAAGAGTCAGTTTGGAGTCACACATCGTGTTTATAGTAAGCAGGACAGACTGGAGCAGAAACAATCAATGAAACTTAAAATAGAAAACTTTCCCCATGATAGGAGTTCAGGAGGACAGAAAACAGATAAAGTAGTGATCCTCTTTGAGCCTCACAGAATAAGGAGGAGCAGACAGAGCAGAGCAGGTCAGCGCAGCGTATCTCTCTCACCTCTTTATGGAAAAAAAGAAAGAAAAACTTGGATAAATTTCCCAGATCTCTCTCTGAGAATCACCTCCCTGCCTCAGTCACCATAGAAACCGTCCCACACCGTTTATTGCTGCTTTTTTCTTTTCTTGATACATAGATTTCATTATGTTTTTAATAGATGAACATTCTGCATCTGTTCTGGTTTGAGGTGCTGCACAGACTCGTTAAGTAGAGCTTTGCTTTATAGAATGCACCGGTGGTTTTTATTTTATAAACTTTTCATAATCTGTCCAGGTTAAATGTGGGAAATAGTTTTAATTTGTGTAAAGCAAAGACACAGATCTGCTCACCCTGCCTAGTTGGAGCCTCTCTATATGCAGTCAGTGTGTCATGGGAAAAAAATTGGTTTGTAAATTAAAATTAAAAACACAATCCAGGAATGAAACTTTGATGAAATATTTTATTTAAAAAAGATTTTGAGAATAACGTTGCTTTTTTTTTGCTCAAAATATTTGTTAAAAGAATTTATTTTCAGATTTTCTTCTTTTGTTTTTTATTTTTTTACAGATTTTCATATTTCTGTTTTTCAACTTGAGTTTCACCAGTAGCATGCTTTTCAAATTGCGAAAAAATTAACAAATGAAAAAATTTTGTTATTCTCAAAAACCATTCTTTGATTAAAACTATTTTTAATCACAGAATTTTTGGATTTTACATAAAAATATGAAGATATCGCAACAATAATGGAATAAAAGTGACTCCGTAGGTTAGTTTGGTTAGTCATTGTATGGAGAGATGTTAAGCCCATCATTAGGAGCATAAACATAGATGTAAGTTACTGAGATCTGATGACAGGACTTCTGTTAATGAGAAGAAAAAATGATTGTTAAAGGAATTCATGTTTTCTTGTTGGTCAGAAGATCAAGATCCTGCATTGTGACCTGCAGTTTGGCAGAAAACTAACAACCAAAACACACTTTCCTCACTGTGAAGCGTGGTGATGGTAGAATCAGGACACTTCTCAGCAGGGACAGAGGATGGAGCTAGAAACAAGAAGATCCTGGAGGCTGCAGGTTTGAGACAGGAGCAGAGGTTCAGCTTCAGGCGATAATCCTGAACACTCCAGATGTTCTCCCTCCCGTCTGACTCCAGCTGTTCTGATGACAACTGGATCCACGTTTTCCCCTCCTGTGCTACAAACTCTCGACTGCATTTGCTTTAAAACCCAGCTCTAGTTTTGGCTGAATTGTGATCATTTTCTCTCTGCTTCACGTTGAGCTCTACTCTGTTGATGCGTTCAAGTTTTTTGGTCGTAAAGAAATGTGAAAAGGGGTGTGAATACTTCGCATCCTCTTGTTTGCGGGTCCTCTGTTGACGTCTCATTCAGAGGGGAAGGATTAGCTAAGATACGGTGTGAGTCCTTTTGTATTTGAAAGGACAGACACCAAGGGAGACTTTTTTTTTATTAGACTTTATTTATTAAATTTTGCAACTTTAACAGCAACATAGATCAAAAAATACATGTTTAGCAACATAGAAGGAAATTACTAATTTAAAATAAAAAAAATAAAATCAGAGGCAAAATAGCAAAAATAGAAGTAAGAAAGAAAGAAAGAAAGAAAGAAAGAAAGAAAGAAAGAAAGAAAGAAAGAAAGACAGAAAGACAGAAAGACAGAAAGAAAGAAAGAAAAACAAAAAAAGGGAGAGAAAAGAAAAAAAAACCTCTTACAATATCTATAATACCAAATTAGAGAGTTGAAATATCCAGCACTGCAAAAACTATCTGGAAACGAGTAAAAATGTCTTAAAATTAGTGTATTTAGCATAATTCTAGCAAGTAAATAATAAGATTTGTCAATGGAATGAGTATTTTTACTCTTAAAATAAGATAATTAGATAATATCCACTTGGAATAAGACAACGCAATTGTTTTTTTCTTATTTTAGATGTAAATTGCCGTATTCCGTTGGCAAAGTGTATCACTTAGCTGCTTAATTCAAGAAAGAAATGCTCTTTTTAAAAGAAAAATAAACTTAGATTTCAATTTTTTGCAGTGAGCCTATGCTTCTTGTGCATCTCGCTGGACCACGGGAGACTTTTGATGAAATGAAAGTAACTCACGGTGATGATGCTCCATCAATAAACCCAACGAGGCCATAGAAAAACCAGATCGCAGCTCGACACTCAGCAGGCTCCATTTCAGACTCAAACACCTGGAGATCAGAAACCACAATTAGTTCCGAGCTGTAATTAATCTATAGAGATATTAGTAATCGGACAGCAAAATTTCAGCTGAATCAAACAGCTAGAAGTGGATCAGGAGCATTACTTATTAAGCGTCCCTCGTACTCCTGGATCTTCTTTTCTTTTCAGAACGGACCTGAAGGAACTCTGCTGTAACCTGGAAGATAGACTGATATAAACTAGACGTCTGGAGTTAATAAATGTTCAAAAGTTATTATTAGATCAATAGGAAGAGTTTATTTATCAGCTAAAATGGTTTATAATCTCTGTATTGTATTTATATGCAAACTTTTTTGGTTAAAGTCTCATTATTTGGATAAAGCCTCATGGAAAGCTTTGGAATTCAAACCTGACGAGCCAGATGATGTGTGACGGCGAAATGATGTCATGTTCTGCAGATATCTGAGCGCCGCTTAAGAGGACCGGAAGGTTTCCATCCTGTCATGATGTCACCAACGGTCGCTTTTTTATTTGCTCTAGTAGGAGCTGAGATCCGGTTATTGTGGTTCATAGTGAGAAAAACAAAACTCCAAATGGTTTTTAATTCCTCTTATTTGTTGAGCTTTAATGAAAAGCAGTTTATTTGGACGTTCCAGCTGTAGATGAGTAACCGCTGGAGGCCTCTGTCTGCTGGGGATGTTTACCCTGATGGCAGCTGGAGTCACGTTAAGTTTTTAAATCCTCGAATTTCAGATTGGTGGAAGTTAATGTTTAAAGCCGTTTATCTGATAAAGTTTGACGTTTTTAATGCTAAAACTGAGGAAGTTAACCATCCATTACTGACCTCCGCTTTAGATCTCCATGGCAACGCTGGTTTTATTTCATTTTTCCATCAGTATTTGAAATTATTTTTCTCTTGCCTGTTTTTCTCTTCATGGATTAGAAAATAAAACTCTGTATGAAGTTAGATATTATTTATATTTAATACAGATTTAGATTAAAATTAAATTCATTAAACAAAGAGGTGAAATGAGAAGGAACACAAATCAATTTGGAGGACAGAAATAGTTAAGATTTCATTAAAAGTTTGGCTACATGAATTATTTATACTCCTCTTAATAATGAATGTAAATTTGACAGTAATAATTCCTTTTTATGATCCTATAATTCGCTGAGATTAACCTTTTCTGCAGTCAGAGGAAGCATCACATTAAAGATTAATATACTCACCCAATGGTTTCTGTTAAACTGATCCTAAAACTGCATAAACTGATCAGAAAATAAGTTAGTTCTCTTCAAACGTGCGTATTTACCGGTAATCTGAGATGATCGGCCAGCGGAATGAGGATTTCTGCCCTTAAAATAGGATAAAGAAATATTATGCACCTAAAATAAGATAATGGAGAAGTTTCTTCTTCCTTTAAATGTAAATCACAATATAAATTGTTAAATTGTTGTATCCACTCAAAACAAGGGAAAATACACTTATTCTTAGAAAAATTGACTTAAATATTTCTTTTTTTTGCAGTGCACTTCAGAAACAATCCAGAAATAAGTCAACATTTCTTATTTTAAGTAAATTCACCCTTAATTTCAGCAGCAAATAAGATGATTTGCTGATATTAACATAAGATAATTAGATTATATGCACTCGTAATGAGACAATGCA